TGGCAGTATGGTCATCTTCAAAATATTGATTCTACCCATCCATGGGCATGGGGTGTGTTTCCATTTGTTTGTGTGATCTATGATTGATTGATTTCAGCATTGTTTTGTAGTTTTCCTGTACAGGTATTTTGACTCCTTGTTTAGGTATATTCCCAAGGTTTTTGTTTTCGTTTTTGTGTTTTGTTTTGTTTTGCAGCTATTGTAAAGGGGCTGAGTTCTTTATTTGATTCTCCGCTTGGTCACTGTTGGTGTATAGAAGAGCTACTAATTTGTGTATATTAATCTTGTATCCAGAAACTTTGCTGAATTCTTTTATCAGTTCTAAGAGCTTTCTGGAGGAGTCTTTAGGGTTTTCAAGGTAAACAATCATATAATCAGCAAACAGTGACAGTCTGACTTTCTCTTTACCAATTTGGATACCCTTTATTTCTTTCTCTTGTCTGATTGCTCTGGGTAGGACTTCCAGTACTATGTTGAAGAGGCGTGGTGAAAGTAGGCATCCTTGTCTTGTTCCAGTTCTCAGAGGGAATGCTTTCAACTTTCTGCCATTCAGTCTTATGTTGGCTGTGGGTCTGTCACAGATGGCTTTTATTACATTGAGGTATGTCCCTTGTATATCCATTTTGCTAAGAGTTTTAATAATAAAGCAATGCTGGATTTTCTTGAATGCTTTTTCTGCATCTATTGAGATAATCATGTGATTTTTGTTTTTAATTCTGTTTGTGTGGTGTATCACATTTATTGACCTGTGTATGTTAAACCATACCTGCATCCCCAGTATGAAACCCACTTAATCCTGGTGGATTATGTTTTCAATATGTTGTTGGATTCAGTTAGCTAGTATTTTGTTAATGATCTTAGCATCCATGTTCATCAAGGATATTAGTCAGTAGTTTTCTTTTTCAGTTATGTCCTTCCCTGGTTTTGGTATTCAGGTGATGCTGGCTTCATAGAATGAATTAGGGAGGATTCCGTCTTTCTCTATCTTGTGGAATAGTGTTAAGAGGATTGGTATCAATTCTTCACTGAATGTCTGGTAGAATTCTGCTGTAAATCCATCTGGTGCCGGACTTTTTTTGTTGGTAATTTTTTTAATTACCATTTCAATCTCGCTGCTTGTTATTGGTCTGTTCAGGGTATCTAATTCTTCCTGGTTTAAGCTAGGAGGGTTGTGTTTTTCCAAGAATTTATCCGTCTCTTCTAGGTTTTCAAATTTATGTGTGTAAAGGTGTTCATTGTACCTTTGAGTGATCTTTTGTATTTCAGTGGTGTCAGCTGTAATATCTCCTGTTTTGTTTATTAGTGAGGTTATTTGGATTTTCTCTTATTTCCTTGGTTAATCTTGCTAATGGTACATTTATTTTATTTACCTTTTCAAAGAACCAGCTTTTTGTTTATCTTTTGTATTTTTGTTGTTGTTGTTTCAATTTCCTTTAGCTCTGCTCTGATCTTGGTTACTTCTTTCTTCTGATGGGTTTGGGTTTGGTTTGTTCTTGTTTTTCTAGTTCCTTGAGGTGTGACCTTAGAATGTCAGTTTGTGCTCTTTCAGTCTTTTTGATGTCAGTGTTTAGGGCTATGAACTTTCCTCTTAGCACTGCCTTTGCTTTATCCCAGACGTTTTGGTAGGCTGTGTCACCATTGTCATTCAGTTCAAAGAATTTTTTAACTTCCATCTTGATTTTGTTTTTGACCTATTGCTCATTGAGGAGCAAGTTATTCAATTTCCATGTATTTGCATGCTTTTGTTGGTTCCTTTTGGAGTTTATTTCCAGTTTTATTTCACTGTGGTCTCAGAGAGTGCTTGATATAATTTCAGTTTTCTTAAATGTATTGAGGTTCATTTTATGGCCTACCCTAAGGTCTACCTTGGAGAAAGTTCCATGTGCTGTTGAATAGAATGTGCATTCTGTGGTTGTTGGATGGAATGTTCTGCATACATCTATTAAGTCCATTTGTTACAAGGTATAGTTTAAATCCATTGTTTCTTTGACTTGCTTCTCGATAACCTGTCTAGTGCTGTCAGTGGAGTCCTGAAGTCCCTCACTCTTACTGTGTTGCTGTCCATCTCATTTCTTAGGTCTGTTAGAAATTGTTTTATACATTTAGGAGCTCCAATGTTAGGTGCATATATGTTTAGGATTGTGATATGTTCCTGTTGGACAAAGCCTTTTGCCATTATATAATGTCCCTTTGTCTCTTTTAACTGCTGTTGTTTTAAAGTTTGTTTTGTCTGATATAAGAATAGCTACCCCTGCCCGCTTTTGGTGTCCATTTGCATAAAATGCTTTTTTCAACTCCTTTTAAGTTTATATGAGTCCTTATTTGTTACGTGGGTCTCCTGAAGGCAGCAGATAGTTAGTTGGTGAGTTCTTATCCATTCTACGGTTCTTTATCTTTTAGGTGAAGCATTTAGGCCATTTACATTCAATGTTACAATTAAAATGTGAGGTACCATTGCATTCATCATGCTCTTTGTTGCCTGTGTATTTTGGGGTGCTGTTTTTGTTTTTGTTTTGCTTTTTAACTTATATTTTTGTTTTATAGGTCCCATGTGATTTCTGCTTTAAAGAGGTTCTGTTTTGATGTGTTGTGTTTCCAGGATTTGTTTCAAGATTTAGAGTTCCTTTTAGCAGTTCTTGTAGTGGTGGCCTGGTAGTGGCAAATTCTCTCAGCATTTGTTTGTCAGAAAAGACTGTATCTTTCTTTCATACATGATGCTTAGTTTCGCTGGATACAAAATCCTTAGCTGATAATTGTTTTGTTTGAGGAGTCTGAAGATAAGGCCAGAATCCCTTCTGCTTGTAGGGTTTCTGCTGAGAAATCTGCTATTCATCTGATAGGTTTTCCTTTATAGGTTACCTGGTGCTAGTCTCACAGCTCTTCAGATTCTTTCCTTTTTGTTAACTTCGAATAACCTAATGACTTTGTGCCTAGACAATAATCTTTTTGTGATTAATATCCCAGGTGTTCTTTGTGCTTGGATGTCTAGATCTCTCACAAGGCCAGAGACGCTTTCCTCAATTATTTCCCCAAATATGTTTTCCAAGCTTTTAGAATTCTCGTCTTCCTCAGGAACACTGATTATTCTTAGATTTAGTTGTTTAACATAATCCCACACTTGTTCAAGGCTTCATTCATATTTTCTTATTCTTTTTTCTGTCTTTGTTGGACTGGGTTAATTTGAAGACCTTGTCTTCAACCATGAATTTCTTTCTTCTACTTGTTCAATTCTATTGCTCAGATTTTCCAGAGCATTTCACATTTCTAAAAGTGCATCAAAAGTTTCCTGAATTTTTTATTGCTTTTTCTTTAAGCTCTCTATTTCCTTGAATATTTCTCCCTTCACTTCTTGTATCATTTTTTGGATTTCCTTGCATTGGGCTTTTCCTTTGTATGGTGCCTCCCTGATTAGCTTAATAACTAACCTTCTGAATTCTTTTTCAGGTAAATCAGGGATTTCTTCTTGGTTTGAATCCATTGCTGGTGAACTACTGTGATTTTTTTTGTGGGTGTTAAAGAATTTTTGTTTTGTCTTATTGCCATGGTTAGTTTTCTGGCTCCTTCTCATTTGGGTAGGGTCTAGGGCTGAAGGTCACTGTTCAGATTCTTTTGTCCCATGGGGTGTTCCCTTGATGTAGTACCCGCCCCTTTTTCCTATGGATGTTGCTTCCTGTGAGCCAAACTGCTGTGATTGTTGTCTCTCTTCTGGGTCTAGTCACCCAGCAAGTCTATCCAGCTCTGGGCTGGTACTGAGTGCTGTCTGCACAAAATTCTGTGATGTGAACTGTCTATGGGTCTCTCAGCCATGGATACCAGCACCTGTTCCAGTGGAGGTGGCAGCAGGGTGCAACGGATTCCATGAGGGTTCTTGGCTTTGGTGGTTTAATGCTCTATTTTTGTGCTGGTTGTCCTCCTGCCAGAAGGTGGTGCTTTCCAGACAGCATCAATTGTGGAAGTGTGAAGAAGTTGTGATGGGCAGGGCTCTAGAACTCCCAAGATTACATGTCCTTTGTGTTCAGATACCAGGGTGGGTAGGGAAGAAACATCAGGTGGGGGCAGGGCTAGGTGTGTCTCAGCTCAGACTCTCCTTGGGCGGGTCCTGCTGTGACTGTTGTAGGGGCTGGGGGTAAGACGCCCAGGTCACTAGAGTTGTGTATCTAGGAGGATTATGGCTGTCTCTGCTGAGTCATGCAGGTTGTCAGGGAAATGGGGCAAACCTGGCAGTCACAGGTCTCACTCAGCTCCCATGCAAACCGAAGGGCCAGTCTCACTCCCACCATGCCCCCCACCCACCCCAGCCCCAAGTCAGTTTGCAGAGGGTGGGCGAGTCAGGCTTGAAAACTTGCCCCAGGCTACCCACCACCCAATTGTGAAAGAAAAGGGTTTGGTTCTTCCCCACCTGTGGGGAAGATTCTGCACACCGGATTTGCACCTCCCCTGAGTTCTGGCCAAGAGGCTTCTCACTCCATTCAAATTGTTAAAAAGTTCAGCTAGAGATTTCCTCCTCCCTGTGGAGTTTTACCACTGGCTCCTCTGGCTGCCCTCACAATGGATCCCTGTGGTGCCAAGCAGGAATGGGCTGCTTGGGGACCCAATAAGCTCCCAGGGCCTTTCTGCTGCTTCCTCTACCCCTGTATTTCACTCAGCTCTCTAAATTGACTCAGCTCCAGGTAACGTCAGAAATTTCTCCCACAAACGGACCTTCAGTTTTTCCAGTGGGGGTGTGTGTTCAAGAAAGGAGGGTCTCCCTTTCCCACTTCTGCAGTGGGGCACTCACAGTATTTGGGGTGCTCCTGGTTACTGCAGGAGCAGTCTGCCTCCTTCAGAGGGTCTGTGAGTCGTCTCGGTATTGCTGGTTTGTTCTTGCAGTCGATCTGGAGCTAAAATTTGAGCACCACCTTTATGAAAAAGAAAAAAATATCTAACCAGGACTGTCCCCAGAAAATTAAGCCACGTGGATCCCACATCTATGATAAAAGAAGAATAGCGAAAGGATGGCATTGACACTGAATGAATTATTTCCAACTTTCATCATAACAATAACTGTCCTACAATGAGATCAGTATACATTTCTTTACATTTAACGTAAACGCCAACAGTGGTCACCTATCAACATCGTGGAAGAGCACACTTCACAGGTTTCATAATCAAATTTTAAAATAATCACATGTAATAAAAACGAATCACTAAAATACAAAAATGTAATTTATTTATTTACTAACTGGTTAGCTATAAAGACAAAATTTTTGCCTTGGAGTTTAAAGCAATTTCACTTTTTGCCATAGTTACTTTTTCTGATGATATGCTAGAATCACAGTCTTCTCTGTTTTATCTGGATTGAATGAATTGTTTATATTTTATGCTTGTTCACTTGAGAACCAAATTTATTTTTCTTCATGATGATGTAAGTTCTGTATTTATAAAATGTCATTGTGCTCATATATTTGAATAATACCGATCACGGTTTTGAAAGTCTCTATGAGCATATCTTGCATAAGTCTTGTTATGTGGGATCCTTCCAAAAGGTTCATAGTCATTGAAACAAGATTCAAAAACTTCATCAACAGCATTTTTAGCTACTTCTTTGCTGATATTCCTAACAGCCAGGATAGAAAGAGTAGCTCTGTCTCGCACACAAGTCTAAAAGGAAAGAAAAGTATGAGGCTTTAATTTTATATAAACATTTAATCATGAACTAATACATTTTATTTAATGTCTGATAAAATTAATTTCCTCTCATTATTTTACTAATTTCTGTCATTCCAAAGAAGAAAACAAGTTGAACAAAGATACATAACTCTTAAGGAGAATTTTTAGCTCAATCTAAAATTATTTAGGCACAAGTAAGACCTTCTCTATTTTCTCATCTTTCCCACTAATGTAAGCAGATGTCATTCTCAGAAATTCTAGGTAGCGTCTGCCAAACAGTATCTCTTAGTTTGCAAAATCGCCAAAAGGTCTAGAAGGTTCTGATTGACGTTTTTGATAATTTAAAATATACTTCACTTCTGTACCTCTCTTTCTTTTCAGTTGACCAATGCTAGATAACTTTTCCTTTGAGAAGGGCAGTCATCTCTGGAGGCAACAGGAAACCATACACATATCCAACCAAACCTGGAAAGTACCTTTATTTTTTGGGGGGCTGGGAAATTAAACAACTTTTTTTCCTGACTGTTCTTTACACAGATATTAAAGTTCTGTTTCTGCCAGGTGCAATGGCTCATGCCTGTAATTTCAGCACTTTGGGAGGCCAAGGCGGGTGGATTACCTGAGGTCAGGAGTTCAAGACCAGCCTGGCCAACATGGTGAAACCCTGTCTCTTTTTTAAAAAAATAAAAAATAAAGTTCTGTTTCTAAAATAATAATTTACCTAATGTTTCATAGTAATAGACTAGAATTTCTCAATACTCTAATTTAAATATTTAATAAATATAAGGCCCTGCCATTCCAATTCCTGGAGAGCTTTTAATCCATTTATTTCTCCCCAGGCCCAAACTAAAACTAAGAAGAATGGCATTTGACCTTTTCCTAAAAGCAATCAAACACTGGTTTGGATGGCTGTGCATCCTGACAATCATCCATTTTCTCTGCATCTTCCCAGTTTTTCTTTGGCCTGGTCAGTGTGCTCAAGCTGGAGATACTCACTCACATTGGAATATAGTGTTTCTCAACCTAAATTTTACTAAACACTGATTTAAAAAAAAAAAAAAAAAATACACCCCAGGCATAATGGAACAAGAAAAGGAAGAACCATTTGAAGCCAAAACAACAGTTGTCAGAAAGAGAGGAAATTTCTCCCCTTCAAAAATAAAAGATACCAAAAATTTGTCTTCTGAAGCCACAGGGTTAGGAAACACAAGTGTAGACCACAGATTTACTTCTTTTCAGATATAATAAATTTCTGTTAAAATAAAGGTATGACTGTGCAATTTTACGATTGGCAGCCACACTTGCTGTTTCTATTCTCTGGGTACATGCTGTACAAAGGCAGGAACTCCATTCTCTAAGACCTTCTCCTCAGCCACATTCCTACTACCTCCACATATTTTCTGTTCAGTTGCTATATCTGTTTGCTGCTGCTGCTACCCAATGGTAAAAAGAGGAACGCTTCTCTTTCAAAGACTGTGTGCATCTCAAACCCATCACAAAGATAAGTGACTGAAAAAAAAATTCATGCTCTATTTATTATATCAACCGATTTTTTAAAAATTGGAAAATATCATAAAATTAGCATTTTTTTTGCAAATACAGTATACATACAACTTTTTTTTTAAAGGAATTTTTCGCCAGGCGCAGTGGCTCATGCATGTAATCCCAGCACTTTGGGAGGCCAAGGCAGGCAGATCACCTGAGGTCAGAAGTTCAAGACCAGCCTGGCCAATATGGAGAAACTCCATCTCTACTTAAAAAAATACAATATTAGCCGGGCATGGTGGCACAGGCCTGTAATCTCATCTACTCGAGAGGCTGAGGCAGAAGAACCTTTTGAACCCAGGAGGCGAAGGTTGCAATGAGCTGAGATGGCAGCATTGCACTCCAGCCTGGGCAACAGAGAGACTCCGTCTCAAAAAAAAAAAAAAAATTTCAAACTCTATTGACAAGAGCAGATATCCATGAGCTATGCCAGCACATGCTTTAACCACATTACCTCTTCTCTAGGGGCGTGCTGATGTGTACCCCACTTCCACCCTCTCCACTGAGAGCCAGAACACAGAATTCACCAGAGAAGCAGGAACTCAAGGGCACAGAAAACATGCAGCACAAGACAAGTCAGTGGCATATCACTAAGCTGACCCGGCACAGGCTGAATGCCTCACTGTCCAGAGTAATCACCCTTTGCAGGCAGCAGGCTTTTCTTCTCGCTCCCACTCACTAAGTTCACAATTTCTCTGAGTAGCTCACTGTGACTTTCCACCCTCCACACCAGAGTTGAGTTACTCTCTTTTCCAAAAAACCAAGGGCTTTCCTGTCGTTCCAAGCCTATCTTTTTTCATCTAGTTGGAACTGATATCCTGATGCTCACATACTTCACAAACCGGCTCAGCAGGCTCTTACTGTAGAAAATCACTGACCAGCCTTTCTCGTAAGTGTGGACATTAGGCAGAACGGCTCACATTCAGTATCAATCCATTAAGTTCTATACTTCCTCTCCCATATCCATCTAATACAGATCTCCAAGCCTTTCTAGCAGGATAATCTTGCCTTATAGCTACCTCTTTTGCTTTTTGTTTTTGTTTTGCATACACAAACCCTTCTCAGCTAAGCTCATCATAGTCAAGTCTGCACCAAGCCAAAGGTTTTTGGTCACATTATATAGCCTTTACAGGTGCACTGAGACATAGCCATAACCTGTGCGACAACACACTCTCTGTTCTGAAAGGGATTACACTTTTTGTCTCCAGAAACAGAAGTCAAGAATTGCTAGCATAACAGTAAGACAGGCTGTGATTTCAATTCCATTCCTTATCCACCCCCATCAAAAGTATCCCAGGTGGGCCGGGCGCGGTGGCTCAAGCCTGTAATCCCAGCACTTTGGGAGGCCGAGGCGGGTGGATCACGAGGTCAAGAGATCAAGACCATCCTGGTCAACACGGTGAAACCCCGTCTCTACTAAAAATACAAAAAATTAGCTGGGCATGGTGGTGCGTGCCTGTAATCCCAGCTACTCAGGAGGCTGAGGCAGGAGAATTGCCTGAACCCAGGAGGCAGAGGTTGCGGTGAGCCGAGATCGCGCCATTGCACTCCAGCCTGGGTAACAAGAGCGAAACTCCGTCCCAAAAAAAAAGTATCCCAGGTACAAGATCTCAGCCCCTTTCATTATTAAAATCTCTCACACACTCGTTGACTCACATAGCTTGCCCATAATTATAAAGTAGAACTAAATTCCATCTACTTTGTTTAAATGGTACATACTTTGTATTCTTTTCATATAGGAAGTTCTTTCAAATTTCAAATACTGAATGTACTTCTCATTTCTTTATTCATTATTTCCACTCGTAACACTCTGGAGAGTAGGTGATTTCATGTTAGTTTTTACCTGGTGGTGTTGTTTTAATCCAAAATGGAACCTGAATATTTCATTTACAAGTGAGCAGTCTCCACTAAGGTTAGCAGCTCGAACCTATCAAACAGAAGACAAACAAAAAGAAAATAAACACTCATGTTCTATATATCTTTATGACATCAACCTATGTTTTAAAATTAGAAGAGAATATAAAATTTGCATCTTTGTCTGAGAAAAGAGTATTTGTAAGACTTTTTCTTAAAGAACTTTTTAAACTCTATTGACAAGAACAGATATCTATGAGCTATGCTAGACAATGCCAAATATGCTGTAGAGATGGGGAAAAGTTCAATCACCTACCAAAGGAAATTTTCTAAATTTCATGCTGTAGCTTTACTGACAGAACTAATTTCTTTTGGGACCAAAAGTCAGAGAGCTAGACCTCAGAGTTAAAATACACACACTCAACAAGATATAAATACTTGTAGAAATTACCAAAAGTACTTCAAGAATGCATCTTGAAATAAACAGTTTCAGCACAAGCTTAAAATTGAATGCATTAATATCTGAGACACTTTGAGCATATGACCCTCCCAACCCTAGCCCCAACCTCTCTTGGAACTTCCCTCAAACTGGTATAAGTTCATGACCTTCCTCTAGGGACTTGATTGTCCTGTGAAAAATGAAGCAACACAAAACACAAAGAATCAAGAACAATCCAAACTGATCACGCTATGAGCATGACAGCCGGAAATTAGCACACATTTTCAGATTTACTATACTTCGATGGATGAAAAAGTCTTAGAACTACCCGCATAGATTCTACAGGCAGCCTGACCACATTTTTTGCTAATTCATCACAAAGAGAATGGCCCACTTCTTGTTCCTTCTACAATATTATGGCCTCATTCCTCTGAGGAGCTCAAAGTACTTAACACACTTTAGCTAAAAGGCATTAATTCTCACAGCACTCAAGAGAGAGACCTATTTAAAAACTCAAGTTTCAGTCTATTCTCCAAATAATTGGAATTATAATTAGATGCAGGGGGGCTACATATTAATTTCAAGAGAAAGGGAAAATAATCTAAGTTATAAAGTATATGCTTGAGATTTAGATTATTTTAATTAACTCTTCAATTAATGACATGCAAGTATATGTATATGCAGAATATGCTCTCTCTAGGACCATATTCCGAGAGCAATTCAACGTGCTTAGTAATAAATACCTTTTTATGTTGTATTTTGGAGATGAGCATGTTTTGCTCTAGGGCAAGCAGGGAGCTCTATGGAAGGCAGCCAGGCAAGCCAGTTAAAAACACTGGTTATAATCCTGCTTCTGCCACTTACTAACTTTGGAATCTAAACAACTGTCTCACTTTCCACATACATAAAGCAGGGACAATAATAGTATAATATCCATCTAAGTGGGTTATTGTGAAGATTGAATAAGAATCTATGCAAACAGAACAGTATTTGGAGCATAGCCCTCAGTAAATGTTAATTATTATTTTTTCATATTATAAAACATATTCAATAGGAAAAAATTAATAGCTTATTAAAGTTAGTCATCACTATTATTAGGACTTAAATAATATAGTTAAGTGAATTCTAAAAATATACTTTAAATTCCTCTAGCTGTATATCAAAAATTATATTCAACGATAGTTAAAAACAGAAATTCAAGACTAAGGTAGAGGAATACACTTAAATAAATTACACTTGAATGAAATATTCACGCATAGAAGGTTCTGGGGGAAAATGCAATAAAACTCATACAATAAAACTCACCTCTGAGCACGCCAAGTGTCTGAGGTTGGTGAACCAGTCGACATGGGCACGACAATGATCAAATGCATGAATGAGCTCGTGGGTGACCACTCTGTTCATATGGGCCTGATTACGGATATTATTCTGGCACAAAACTATCTAGGAGACACCAAATAAGGGAAGTTCCGTGATTTCTAAAATCTCCTTTCATAGACTCGATCTTCTCTCCCACATGACCTCCCTTCTCCCCCAGAAGTGAGGGAATTCACCTGCCTGGAATGCTTCCACCCACTCTTCTCCATTGACAACACATCTACCAAGTGGACAAGTCCCAGTCCTCACTGAACACGCTCCATTTGCCTCACCCAATGACTAACTTCTCTCTTCCCCTCTCTCTGGACTACAATAGTACTTATGATTGAGGACAAGTATTCACGCACCATTCTCACTGAGCTGATCATAGCAGTCTGTCTTGGACTCCACAGCATTACGGTTAAGAGACTGGGCTTTGGAATGAAGCGGACAAATTTAAATTCCAGCTCCAGCCCTTACTAACTCAGTGACCTTGGGCAAGTTTCTTAATCTCTCTGCACCTCAGTTTCCTCAACTATAAAAAGGAGATAGAATACCTACCTCACAGAACTGTGAGAATTTAATTAGAATATATTGTAAATACTTAGCAAGTTTCTGAATGAGCACTGAATGAACAAGGAATGACCACCACTGTCTTCATTTTACTAGAAGGAGGAAAGATGCCAGGGAAAAGTCCTCAGAAAGACCTTCAGAAAGAAGGTCTTCAGAAAGACGTGCAAAAAGCCAACAGCACACTGAGCAGGGCCCTAAAAGATTTAGTAAGACACAAGGGTTTCTAATAGTAATAGCTGCCATTTATTGTGTACTACTGCCAGATGCTGGGATATGTCCCAGATATTTATATATTTATATACATTCATTCAACACCATTGATTCAACTAATACTTATTGAGACCTATTAATAGATTTATAATCTACTGATGGAGATAGAAATTAACCAAATATTTACCAAAATGTTTAAATACATGCAATGACAGCTGTCATGAAGAAAAGCCCAGGTTGTCATGGGCATATATAACATAATATGCTGTAATCCCAACACTTTGAGAGGCTGAGGCAGGCAGATTGATGGAGCCCAGGAGTTCGAGACCAGCCTGGGCAACATAGCAAAATCCCATCTCTATCAAAAACTAAAATTAAAAATAAAAATTAGCCAGGTATGGTGTCACGTGCCTACAGTCCCAGCTACTTGGGAAGCTGAGGTACGAGAATCACTTGAGCCCAGGAGGTTGGCGCTGCAGTGAGCCAGGAACACGACACTGCACACTCTGGCCTGGGCAACAAAGGGAGACCCTGTCTCGAAAAAAAAAAAGAAAGAAAGAATCCCTGACCTGGTCTGGAGGTAAAGAAAGGCTTCTCTGTGGAAGGAATAGTTGAACTGGTATCTAATGAATGAACAGAAATGAAATTTGAGGTGCAGAGAAGAAGGGAGTATTCTAGATAAACAGAAAAACCTATGCAAAGGGTAGAGGGAGGGTTGAAGGAAGAAAATGCTTGAGAAGCTAAAAGGAGAGGCCTAGACTTGAACTACAGCAGTGGGGGAGGTAGGCAACAGATACGGCTGGTGAGGTCGGGGGGCCAACTCCCTGAAGACCTCATCTTTACCCTAAGAGCACTGGGAAGCTCTCAGGATAAAAAAAAAAATGTTGAAACAGAAGACTGCTTTTGTTTTATTTTGCTTTTATCCTTTTAACTATAGTTGGAAGAATAGGCAGGAGATGGCCAAAACTGGATGCAGAGAAATTAGCTGAAGGCTAATATTCTAGGCAAGAGAACAGTACTTCAGCTAGACTGGTGGAAGTTGAAAGAGATACTTAGGAAGTAAATCAGATAAAACATAGTGATAGAATATGAGGAAGGAATCAGGGGTGTCAACGATGATCCATAAATTTCTGGCTTGGCTAATAGGATTGACGATAGCACCATCCACTGAGATATGCAAAACTAGAAGACTGGGTTGGGTGGGGATAGGGGATGGTAAAAATCATGAATTTGGATTTAGACATTTCAAATCTAAAGTGTCTTTAAGACACTTAAGCAGGCGGGGAGCAGTGGCTCTCACTTGCAATCCCAGCACTTTGGGAGGCTGAGGTGGAAGGATCATTTGAGGCCAGGAGTTCAAGACTAGCCTGGGTAACACAGTGAGACCTCATCTCTACAAAAAATTTAAAAAGTTAGCCAGGTGCAGTGATTCACACCCACAGTCCCAACTACTCAGGAGGCTGAGATGGGAGGATCACTTGAGCCCAAGAGTTCAAGGCTGCAGTGAGCCATGACTGCACCACTGCACTCCAGCCTAGGCAACAGGGTAAGACCCTGTCCCAAAAAAAACTCTTTTTCATTAAAAATATAAATAAATAAATAAAAAGACACTCAAGTAGAGGTGTTAAATGGGCACTTGGACATATGCAATGTGTAGTTCTTAAAAGTGAGCTTTGACCCCAGAAAATTAGTGGGACCTCCTTGGCAGAGAACAGAGTAAGAAAAGAAGGGGCTCTGTGACCAAGGATTGAGGGACTTTGATATTTAAGTGCTGATAGAGAAAGGTAAGCTAGCAAAGAAGTAACCAGGAGAGTGCTGTATACTAGAAACCACAGAGAGACAGTGTTTGGCACTAACAGCCAAAGTCAAGTGTATACACACTCTATGATCCAGTAATTCTGCCTCTTGGGCGTATACCTTGGAGAAACTCTTGCAAATGTGTACCAGTAGCGAAGGTCAAGAATATTCACAGCAGCATTGTTCATAATAAAAAAGTTGGAAACAATCAATATTAGAATAAACTGTAGTATAAACATATAACAAAATAAATACTATATAACAGGGAAACTAAATAAACCAGAGAGGTACACACAACAACATGGAAGAATTTCACAAATGTTGAACGTGGGAAGTAAGTTGGAGACTATCTGCTGTACGATTTCATAATACTACAAAATAATACATGAAACTCAAAGTATTCCATGCATAAAGCTCAAAAACAGGCAACCAAGTAACACATTGTTGAACTGTATACGTAGATGGTAAAGCCATGCAGAAAAGCAGGGAATGGTTACTACAAAAGTCAGGATAAGGAAGGGAAAAGGACCTGATTCAAGAGGACCACACAGGCTTCTGAAGTCCTAGTAATGTTCTTTTTCTCTAATCTGGGTGGCAGTTACATAGGTGTGCACTTTCTTATTACTGAAAGTGTGTATATATAGGGTTTTTTTTATCCTTCTGTATGAGTGAGATGCTTCATAATGAAAATTTTCATTTAAAAAATAGGCAGGGTGCAGTGGCTCACACCTGTAATCCTAACAGTTTGGGAGGCTGAGGTGGGTGGATCACCTGAGATCAGGGGTTTGAGACCAGCCTGGCCAACATGGCAAACCCTGTCTCTACTAAAAATACAAAAATTAGCCAGGCATGGTGGTCCATGCCTGTAATCCCAGCTATTCAGGAGGCTGAGGCAGGAGAATCATTTGAACCCAGAAAGCAGAGGTTGCAGTGAACCCAGATCGTGCCACTACACTCCAGCCTGGGTGAGAAAGTGAGACCCTGTCTCAAAAATAATAGCCAGGCACAGTGACTCACGCCTGTAATCCCAGCACTTTGGGAGGCCAAGATGGGCAGATCATGAGGTCAGGAGATTGAGACCATCCTGGCCACATGGTGAAACCCCATCTCTACTAATATACAAAATATTAGCCAGGCATGGTGGTGTGTACCTATAGTCCCAGCTACTTGGTAGGCTGAGGCAGGAGAATAGCTTGAACTGGGAGGTAGACGTTGCAGCGATGTCACTGAACGCCAGCCTGGCAACAGAGCGAGGCTTCATCTCAAAAAATAATAATTTAAAAAACAAAAAATTTTTAAAAATTAAAGGAGAGGATGCCCAACTATCTTCAACACTGCTAAGAATTAGGATGAAAGTTCAAGATGTACATTCTATTTAACCCTGGGGGGACGGGAACAGGGGTGAACGTATTCAGAGCCATTTTGAGGGCTATAGGTATTGTGATTACCAGTTTACAAATGAGGAAACTGAGAAGAAGAAAAATAACTTGCCCAAGCCCCACAGATAATAAGCAGGGAAACTAGGTTTGAAATCAAATCTGACTCCAAAATCTAGACTTCTCATCCCTGTTCTATATTGCCACTTCCCATGATTACTATAAAAAAGTTATCGATAACCTAAATACATATAAAATTCTCCAGCAGGAAACAGGTAAATATAGTTAAGTATGAATTATATATTAAAGTGTGAAACAGTTACTTAAAACACCACCATTTACCCTCATCACGTAACATTATCTACCACCTCCAAGATTCTGTTGAAACCCTCTGATGACTTAAAACTAATAATAAAATTTATTGAATACTTACTATGGGCCAGGCACTAAGATAAGCAACTCTATAAGAGATATCTCACTTAACTCTCATAATCTTTCCATAAAATAGATACATTTATTGCCCATGTTATACAGATAAGAAAATTCCCCTAATGAAATTTTTTACAAGCACTATCACCATGTAAAGGTAAAACCCTTTCGTTTAGCATTCAAAGACTCCCACCATATGGCTAACATTTCTTTCCAATCCTATTTTCCCTTATTCTCCACATGTTCCTGCCCTCCAGATAAACTAGACAATATGCCATTCCCTACACATGCCGTGCAGTTTCCTAGCATGCACTTTTGGTCATGCTACCCCTGCTCTGCCCCTAAGGAAGCTTTACATCTTCTAGTCGAATCAGTTGGCACCTTTCAATCAATCACATCACTGTCCCATTGTGGTAACCAAACCCATCTAAAATGGTTTAGCCTGCCTCATTTTATAATTATCTATGTTCATGTCTTATCTTCCCTGTGAGGCTGTAAACTCCTTAAGAGATTTTAAGAGTAAACTCCTTAGAGTAAGAATAGCTAATTCATGTTTTTAGTCCTACACAAAGTCTACCAAACAGAATGCTGAGCACGTGGACGATGCTCAAATAATACCAGGAGAGAGGGTTAAAGGGAAGGAAACAATTTGGCAATAACGCCTACCTGAGATGTTGAAGCATCAAAACCTCCACTGACATTCCCATTACAGTCTTCACAAGAAAAGTGTCTATCTTTGTTAACAGCACTAAAAGGCAAGAACAGATTAAAGAGACAATGTCCAGAAGCAGTGTGTAGGTGGCAAACAGCCCTGGGCCAGGACTCAGGAGGCCCTCCACCATGTAGTAAATCCCCTCCACCACTAACACATAGAGAACCTCCGGAAAGAAACTTAACACCTTCAGGACTCAGTTATCTCATCTGTAAAATAAGGAGATTGTAGGCTGGGCGCGGTGGCTCACGCCTGTAATCCCAGCACTTTGGGAGTCCAAGGCGTGCGGATCATGAGGTCAAAAGATCAAGACCATCCTGGCCAACATGGTGAAACCCCGTCTCTACTAAAAATACAAAAAAAAAAAAAAAAAATTAGCTGGGCGTGGTGGCGCACGCCTATAGTCCCAGCTACTCAGGAGGCTGGGACAGGAGAATTGCTTGAACCCGGGAGGCGGAGGTTGCAGTGAGCCGAGATCGTGCCACTGCACTCCAGCCTGGCACCTGGCAACAGAGAGAGACTCCGACTCAAAAAAAATAAAAATAAAAAGATTGTATGTAAAATCCATCCTAGTTCAAATTCTATAGATACAATTCCATAAAGCATTTGTTCAACTGATTATGACCATATTGCAAGTACGCTGGAGTTCCTGCCTTTGGGCCCAAATGTTAAGAACTGGATGTCAAAAGTGACTTCCTTTAGGCCCCTCAAAGTTATACATCTGCAAGTTTCCCAAATAACAAGCTGAGATTTCTTCTCCATTAAAAACAATGCTCAGGCTGCTGTAGCAGAAAGGCCAGGATTGGTAATTACTTACAAGAAAATTTTGAGTACTGTCTTTACTAATAGGGTGAATGGTAAAAGCTAGAAAATGAGTTGGGCCAGCACAATGGCTCACACCTGTAATCCCAGCACTTTGGGAGGCTGAGGTGTTGTATTTGACCGAGTGTAGAAAGTTATCACAAGACAAAAGTATGCCAGATTGCAGGGTCATTTATTATGCCGGCGACCACAGAGGACTCACGTCTCTCCAACCTGTGGTGGCAACAGGAGGGTGCCACGATTTTTTATACCCGAAAAACCACCTTGGGAGTGGCGGTGAGGGGCAGGGATGGGGATGAAAAGGCTTCAGACATTCCGAGGGCTAGTGGATTCTGTAAATTACCTCCTGGGCAGAGATGAGGGTGGGGGTCTCCGGACATTTCAAGGGCCAGGGGACTTTTGTCATTCCGTTTGTTACTTAAGTGGTTTACAGAAGTCAAGATAAACATTTGTTTACACATTATCTGGTTAAGGTGGAAATCACAGACCTTAGTTACTTATTACAAGTCGCAGGAGCCAAGATGGCATGGGTTAGGACTGCTTGCCTGTCACATTAGGGCCACAGAGAGCAGTTACTGATAAGAAAAGGTAAGCAGCTTTACATAGTTTTGAAGAACAAACTGGCAGTTCTATTTACAGAGGCCAAGGACAGTAGTTATTGTGAGGAGAATGGGGCAGCCATTTCAACTTATCTAAAAACAGTTTTGCATTTTATAAAATAGTTTTGCTCCGGTTCTGGCTCTAGGCCAGCACAATATCACAGAGGCAGGTGGATCACTTGAGGACAGGAGTTCAAGGCCAGTCTGGCCAACATGGTGAGACCCCATCTCTACTAAAAATACAAAAATGAGCTGGGCATGGTGGCGTATGCCTGTAAACCCAGGTACTCAGAAGGCTGAGGCAAGAGAATTGCTTGAACCTGAGAGGCAGAGGTTGCAGTGAGTCGAGACAGCACCACTGGACTCCTGCCTGGGCAACAAGAGCGAGACTCTGTCTCAAAAAAAAGAAGATGAGTTAGGGCAGAAGGTGTCCAAAGAGAACAAGGCTTGCCTGGAGACAATGCAGCCAATTACCCCCATTTACCCTATGGAAAAGACTTCATGACCTCAGAGAAATTTTAAGCAGCTCTCTTAAAAGAAGGCCAGGTGCGGTGGCTCACACCTGTAATCCCAGCATTTTGGGAGGCCGAGGCAGGTTGATCACAAGGTCAGGAGTTCAAGGCCAGCCTGGCCAAGATGTTGAAACCCCATCTCTACTAAAAGTATAAAACTTAGCCGGGTACAGTGGCAGGCACCTGTAATCCCAGTTACCTGGGAGGGTGAGGCAGGAGAACTGCTTGAACCCAGGAGACAGATATTGCAATGAGCCAAGATGATTGCACCACTGCACTCCAGCCTGGGCGACAGAGTGAGACTCTGACTCCAAAAAAAAAGAGAACTTGGTTTTTGTTTTCAGCAGCCAGAGCACAGAGCAGCACTTCAAAAAGAGTTACTTACCAACCTGAGTGTTTCATAGCATCAAGCAGAAGTTTGACATATGGATCTAAAAAAGATATTGAGTCAATTAAGTTAATTGGAAAAGTAGCACCAACTAAACTACCCAAATAGCAGTATATTATCAAAAAGTAACTCACAGGCCAGACACAGTGGCTCATGCCTGTAATCCCAGCACTTTAGCAGGTCGAGGTGGGCAGATCACTTGAGGCCAGGAGTTCAAGCCCAGCCTGACCAATATGGCAAAACTGTGTCTCTACTAAAAACACAAAAATTAGCCGGGCATGGTGGCCCACGCCTGTAGTCCCAGCTACTAGAGAAGCTGAGGCATGAGAATTACTTGAACCTGGGAGACAGACATTACAGGAGCTGAGATCGCACCACTGCACTTTAGCCTGGATGATAGAGTGAGACTTTGTCTCAAAAAAAATGTAACCTTAAAATTAGTAAAAATTGAAACAAGAGGACAAGCTTAAATTAACATCAAAGCAAATTTATACTGAAATAAAACACTAATACAAATACCAAGATGGTACTACTAAGCATCTTAGACAATATCAAATATGCTTTTAAAGTTCATTTTTAGTTAAATGATCAAACACAATGTATTACCAAAAGACTGACGGAATCTAGGGCCATGTTACTAGAAGTGAACAACAGCATAGTACCTAGATTTGAGGAAGCCAAGTAGCCACGCTGTTCTCTATCCTGGTCAGACCATGCTGGCAACACCATGTCCCATGCTGAGTACTACCACGCTCTAAACGGAACCTGCCACTGAAGCTCTTCCACAGGGGATGGTGGCTAGGATACCACGGGACTATTTTCAATAAGAAGCAAGAATGGATTTGCGGGGGTGGAAAGGAAACAGAAGACTTAACTAGGACCACAGTAGCTTCAAGTATTGAAGGGGTGAGATGTGGGACTAGAATCAGTTAATATTTCTTCAAAGGGCAGAACAAGAACCAAAGCGTGGAAGTTACATGTGGCAGATTTCAGCTCAGCATGAGAAAGGATTTTTCTTCAACAGTTAAAGCTAGTGAAACAACAGACAGTAGATTGAAAGGGCCTCAAGGAACAAGTGACTATGTTCCAGGAGAGATCTGTGGAGTATCTGGCCAGCAATGACACAGAGGTTTTCCTTTAGTGGGACAGGGAGGCCTTGATGATTCCTGAGGGCCCTTCCACTTCTAAGACTCTATGGGCCTGTGACTACTACAGGAAAGTACAAGGAACCTAAATGTCTCTAATATTAACTTTTCACATAGGCATCTTGTCTGAGAGTATAAATGCACAGCAAATAATTTGATGTAACCCCAAAAAAGAAACTAAGTTTAAAAAAAAAAATTGGGCCGGGCGCGGTGGCTCAAGCCTGTAATCCCAGCACTTTGGGAGGCTGAGGCGGGTGGATCACGAGGTCAAGAGATCAAGACCATCCTGGTCAACATGGTGAAACCCCGTCTCTACTAAAACTACAAAAAATTAGCTGGGTATGGTGGTGCGTGCCTGTAATCCCAGCTACTCAGGAGGCTGAGGCAGGAGAATTGCCTGAACCCAGGAGGCGGAGGTTGCAGTGAGCCAAGGTCGTGCCATTGCACTACAGCCTGGGTGACAGAGCGTGACTTCACCTTAAAAAAAAAAAAAAAAAATGTGAGATGAGAAAGGCAGGTATAGGTTACTGCTTTACTTTTTTCTTTTTTTTTTGGGACGGAGTTTCGCTCTTGTTACCCAGGCTGGAGTGCAATGGCGCGATCTCGGCTCACCCCAACCTCCGCCTCCCGGGTTCAGGCAATTCTCCTGCCTCAGCCTCCTGAGTAGCTGGGATTACAAGCACGCGCCACCATGCCCAGCTAATTTTTTGTATTTTTAGTAGAGACAGGGTTTCACCGTGTTGACCAGGATGGTCTCGGTCTCTTGACCTCGTGATCCACCCGCCTCAGCCTCCCAAAGTGCTGGGATTACAGGCTTGAGCCACCGCGCCCGGCCCAGGTTACTGCTTTACTAACCTGCCCCTTGCAAGAGTGTTCACAGCAGAATACTTATTGTTAACAATCGAGTGAATACTAGGTAGCAGGCACCATATTAAGTGCATTATTATTCACGCAACTCAAAGAATTTTACAAAGTTAAAATGGTTTCAAAAGTCTATAGTCCTTGTACTTAAGAATGCTGTCAACACCGTGGTTTAGTACTTAAAAAGGACCTGCAACAATGTTTAGAATAAACCTGCTTTGGTGGAAAAAAAAAAAAAGTATCCCATGAGGCCTGGTTTCTGCCACCATGCCCCACCCAGGGATAGGATTTTAAAGCTGCAGGTTGACACTTTAATACCAGCAACAGGCCCTCTTAGCCACCCTCCCCTTGAAAGATCGAGGCCCATTGATTCCTACTAAAGTTCAGTTCAGCACCCTACCTTCCTCACATCCTGTCTATTTCCACTCTTCCTCCACTGTGTGGCCCTTCCACTGTAAAAACAGCCAGCATTTATTCAGCTCAGCTCCTGATACGCTGGTACTTTACATTCATAAAATCAATACTTTTTTTTTTTTAGAGTCTCGCCCTGTTGCCCAGGCTGGAGTGCAGTGATGCAATCATAGCTCACTACATCCTCAGCCTCCTGGGCTCAAGCAGATCTCCTGCCTCAGCCTCCCAAATAACTGGGACTACAGGCATAAGACAGCACATCCAGCTAATTTTTTTATTTTTGTAGAGACAGGATCTCCCTATATTGCCCAGGCTGGTATTAAACATCTGAGCTCAAGCAATCCTCCTGCCTTGGCTTCCCAATGTGCTGGGATTATAGGCATGAGCCACCGTACCCACATCCATAAAATCTATTCTTCACAACAACCCTAAAAGAGGCATTTTTCCACTTCTCTTTTTTTACAATTAGGATAGTGAGGATCAGAGAAGTTAAGTCACTCTTCCACACCTGTGGAAAGGGATCGGCATTTGAACCCACATCTAACTCTGCAACCCATACTCTTCCCACTTCCTCCACTTTGAAGCACCTTCAAAGCAGGACGCTAACTCATCTTTGTACTTCCCCCCACCAGAACCTGGGAGGCACTCAATACATATTTGTACAGTAAATACAGTATCATCATGCTCTCCCCCCTTTCCCTCTACTCCCCTTCCTCCTCCTATGTCCCTGAGTCTCTATAAGCAGGTAATCCCAGGAAGGCTGTAAAATGTTTGGGTGGTTGATTTTTGAACTGTGACTGGCCAGCTATAAAATAGTAACCTTGCTTTGGGACAAGTAAGTCTGATTTTCTAAATGTATCTGAAAGTAAACTTAGGAAGTCTATGTCAATGTAAAGGAATTAAGAAATCTTCTCTAGTGCAATGTCTACAGGACTGGAGAGAAATCTGTCAATGGGTAGGTGTGTACCTGTTTAACCCATAGCAGTCTTTAACGTTTTTGGGGTCGTTGGCCTCTTTGAGAATATGATGAAGCCATTAACTCTCTCCTCCCCAAAAAAAAATGCACTTAGGCATACACACACACACACACACACACACACACTTTCACAGACCATTTCAGGGATTTCTACGCTCTGAGCCCATTCATGCATGAAGGCTAAGAACCCCTTCCAAGGAAAGGTAGGTTTGCAAAACTGTTGTTTTTGCACTGCCAGCCGTAAGTATGCCTTAATTAACCTGGCTGGCTCTTTAAAACTCTGCCTCACCCTTACTCAGAAGTCACAGTATAGCTGCATAACTTATGTAAGAAATCGGATGATCTGTCAGAACAGTGGGTGACAGAAAAGAGCAGACAAACTCTTTCCACAAGCCAAAAACAGCGATGAAAAGGCTCTCAGCGCCTCCTCTAGTGGGGAAACTGAGGCCCAGGCTCCCAATCTAGCCCCCATGATGCCCAGTCTGCCTAGAGGCTGTGCTGAACCCGGCTCATTCAGCCCTGAGGCTGAACCTGCAGCCTCTGGCCAAGTGTTGCCCAGGCCTCTCCTCGCCCACCCGGTCTCAGACCCACACTGCCGAACACCACTCTCCAGGTCATGGCTCCTACTTGTTTCCAGCGTCCTCAGGAGCCTAAGCTGGCACTTCTGGTTGCTGGTGAAGAAGCTGGAGAGGAACCCTTGCTGGGGATTCCCCTGGGCCAGACGCTTAGGGAAGACCTGGCAAGAGACGTGTTGCTGCTGCAGCTGCTCCCCTGCCGCAGGGCCAGGCCCGCCCACGTCCGGAGCTCCAGCCATGCCGCCGGCAGCAGACCGCACTGCTGCTTCCTCCAAGCTCCGGCGGCCGCAGAGAGGCAGGGAAAGGTAACCTCCCTCCCGCCCACCCGACCGCCCAGGAAGGCCCTCCTTCGGCAGGGAAGAAGGGCAGCAGGCTGGGCGGTAAACGTCAGGCGGGAGGGGACTTTTGAACCTGACGGGGAGCGAGAGGCCGGAGAGACAGGCGAGGGGCGGGGCGACGGTCGCAGGGCGGGGCATGGGGCAAGGGGCGGGGCGAGAGGCGAGGGGCGGGGCGAAAAACAAGGGGCGGTGCTGGGCCAGATGCTGGCGCTAGGAGCTGGGTCCTGCGACTTCCCTTAAAGGCAACACCCCGGCTGCAGTGGGATTCGCTGCTGCCCACCCAGTGTGGGTGACAGGTCTTTATAAGCGTTGTTCTGCAGCCTCCTGCTGCCTGTTTTTTTTTTCCACATGCATTTATTTTATTCTATTCACATTGTACAATTGTTACAGAACCTACAAAAAGTACAAAAGCCTAGTCCATTTTCCAATGCCAGGTCAGAACCGAGTTGCAGAAAAGGAATACAGCACAGTAAGTTACAAGAAGAGCTCAGGGGTCCTGTACAAGTCACATGACATATTTAAAGCTGTAAATGTTGCCACAGGAGAATCTCTTGTCTTTGCAGCGACCACACAGTTCTTGTCGATGGGGCCTCCTTAGATCAATGTGTCTTTTCTTTTGAGGACAGGAACAATGAGACTTTAAGCAGGTCTGACATGGGATTGCTTCTACTCGGTAAGGGTTAAAACTCTTTTGGTAATTACAACAGAGTTGTTTGAAATAAACCTTGTTAGTTCCAGAAATGCACTACACCTAAGCACTCTCCCACCTGGCTATTTTCACTGCAAAGATTGTAAGACCAGGTGGGAGAGTGCAACAGGTATTGTGCACAACACTTCTTATCTGGGGGCTGGAGCCTTTAAAGGTTTTCTAATAGAAAGATACTGTAAATCAATGCAGTGGGAGCTGACAGACTTGTGCTCTTAAGATATTTATGGGGCCGGGCGCAGTGGCTCACGCCTGTAATCCCAGCACTTTGGGAGGCCAAGGCAGGTGGATCACGAGGTCAAGAGATCGAGACCATCCTGGTCAACATGGTGAAACCCCGTCTCTACTAAAAATACAAAAAATTAGCTGGGTATGATGGCGCGTGCCTGTAATCCCAGCTACTCAGGAGGCTGAGGCAGGAGAATTGCCTGAACCCAGGAGGCAGAGGTTGCGAGATTATGCCCTTGCACTCCAGCCTGGGGAACAAACCCGAATCTCCGTCTCAAAAAAAAAAAAAAAAAAATTTATGGGAGAATGATTTGAGCTAGCACAGAAGAGAGAAAAGACTGACAGGGTATACAGCTGCCATGACTGGTTACACCAGAGGGGTTCTTCTCCCTCCGTTATTTGCGGGATCTCAGGCCTGAGGCCTACTTTCCACAGTAACTGGATGCAAGGTATTACAACTCCTTTATCAGGAGGAGAGGTTCTTGCTCTAAGCTTGCCATACAGCGTATGCCCTTTCAGGCAGGGACGCCACCGCTTGGGTCTTTGGTTCTTGTCCTGGTCTGGCTGTTTTCCCATGTACTGCTTCTGTTCTGTGACTGCGCTGGGCATTCCTCCTACTATAAACTACTATATGGTTATATGGAAGGATTATATAAATCAGTAATAATGTGTCAGTACAGCTCCAACTACAATACCTATATGATTATATAGAAAGATTTATGGAACTAAGTATGCTAGATATAAGACTAAGTATGATTATATAAGCTAGATATATGTAAGCAGTAAGTTACATTTCAGGCACTAATTCTATAAACTAATATATGATTATATATAAAGGATTATATAAAGGAAACAGCTGAGTAATAACACTATAAACTAAGATATTCTTCAGGCACTAATGGTGCCTGGGGTTTGCACAGCTCTCCTTCCTCGGTGCCCATGTCGGGGGTTATCCACACCTACTCCACAGGGCATTCCCAAATACCTTCATCACAATTAATGACTCCTGATCTCCCATTGTACAAAGTCCTTTGTATCTGTTAATCGTTTTCATCATAGCCTGCCAGGTTTTATCCAATTTCTGTGTTTCTCTTTTCCTACAAAATTATTCCACTCAGCTCACACATTTATTCAGCACCTACTATGATGGGCCAGGCAATGTGTTAAGAGACTGAGGAAACAGATGACTAAGAAAATTGCTAAAGTTGAAGAGCAGCATGTGGTTTATGTAAGAAACATACCTGAATAATATAGGCTCACCAGGACTTTGGTTATAAACAGTGCTTTATGTGTCATAGATGCTCAATAAATATCTAAATTGAGTGTGATGCTAGGATATTCATTCATTTGGAATATTATAAAAATACAAACACCTGCTATGTGCCTAGACTGCTAAAGCCAAAAGTCAAAAAAAAACTACTTTTAATTAAACTCACCTTGGACACATTATTTCTAATCCTCACTACAACCCTGCAAAGCATTATCTCTAATTTGCAGATAAAGAAATTGGGCTCAGCAAAATTCAATAATTTATCTAGGACCACACAACTAGCTTTCAATCCAGTTATATAACTAAAACATACACATATGGAAAACTAAGCCATTACAATACAGTATGAATAGTTTGGAATACTGAAGGAAGGCTAGCTATGCCTAGAAATGGACCATAGCCTATAAACATTTGAAATACTATTTGGATTTTTTTTTATGCTTTCTTTTTGTATACCGAGATTCAGGGCGTATGTGTGTAGGTTTATTACATAGATACATCATGCAGTGGTGAGATCTGGGCTTCTAGTGTACCCATCACCCAAACAGTGAACATTGTACCCAATAGTTAATTTTTCAACCCTCACCCTTCCCTTCCCATCCTCCCCACTATTGTAGTCCCCAGTGTCTATTATTCCCCTCTATGTCCACGTGTACCCAGTGTTTAGCTTCCACTTATAAGTGAGAACATGTGGTATTTGATTTTCTGCTTCTGAGTTATTTCACTTAGGATAATGGCCCCAGCTCCATCCATGTTGCTGCAAAAGACATGATTTCATTATTTTTATGGCTACATAGTATTCAATGGTATATGCATACCACATTTTCTTTAACCATCTGTTGGTGGACACTTAGGTTGGTGGTTGATTGTATGTCTTTGTCTTTTTGTCATAACAATTTCTTTTTTTTTTCCACAGACAGGGTCTTGCTCTGTCACCCAGCTGGAGTGCAGTGGTGTAATCATAGCTCACCACAGCCTTGAATTCTTGGGCTCAAGCAATCCTACCACCTCAGTCTCTCGAGTAGCTGGGACTACTGGCATGTACCATCATGTCTGGTTAACATTTTAATTTTTTGTAGAGATGGAGGTTTTGCTGTATTGCTTAGGCTGGTCTCAAACTCCTGGCATCAAGTGATCCCCCTGCCTCAGCCTCCCAAAACTCTGGGATTACAAGCATGAGCCACCACACCCAGTTACAAATTTGTTTTCCTTTGGGTACCCAGTAGTGAGATTGCTGGGTCAAATGGTAGTTCTATTTTTAGTTCTTTTGAGAAATCTCCATACTAGTATCTACAGAGATTGTACTAATTTACATTCCCACCAACAGCGAATAAGCAATCCCTGTTTTCTGAATTTTCATAAATATCTGTTTTTTGACTTTTTAATAATAGTCCTTCTGACTGGTGTGAGATGGTATCTCACCATGGTTTTAATCTGCATTTCTGTGATGATTAGTGATGTTGGGAATTTTATCATGCTTTTTGGCCACTTACATGTCTTCTTTTGAGGAATGTCTATTCCTGCCCTTTGCCCCTTTTTTAATAGATTTTAATTTTTTCTGGTTCAGTTGAGTTCCTTGTAGGGTCTAGATATTAGTCCTTTGTTGGATGCATAGTTTGCAAATATGTTCTTCCATTCTGTAGGTTAGTTATTTATCTTACTATGCAGAAGCTTTTTAGCTTAATGAAATTCATTTGTTTTTGTTTTTGTTGCATTTGTTTTGGAGGACTTGCTCAAAAATTCTTTGCCTAGGCCAATGTCCACAAGAGCTTTTCCTAGGTTTTCTTCTAGGATTTTTGTTTTTCAGGTCTTAACATTTAATTCTAATTCATCTTGAGTTAATTTTGGTATATAGTGAAAGAAAGGGGTCCAGTTTCATTCCTCTACATGTCTATCCACTTTGTCTAGCACCATTTATTAAATAGTGTCCTTTCCCCATTATTTATTTTTGTTGTCTTTAAGATTAGTTGGTTGTAGGTATGTGGCTTTATTCCTGTAGACTATCTGCAATACCCTTCAGCTACACAAATAAGCAAAAAAGTACAAACCAAAAGCTGCAATATAGCCTTACTAAATTAGCTAAAACTCTTTCAACACTCATTGTTGAAGGAACAGAGAGAGAAAAAAATCATACCACAATGTCAATGGTTATGTAGGTATTGAAATTTTTTTGTTACATTCTTCTGAAATTTTCTAATGTTCCTCAATAAGCATGTATTACCTTTCTAATCAGAAAAATAAACTTTAAAAAATTGAGTGGGCTTTGGATGCCATGTGTACCTTCATCTGCATACAGTATAAAGACATACCTAACCTCTTCACTCTTCAGACATACCGAAAACCACCGCAGTCTACACGTATGCCCCAAATTACTATTTTCTTCCCAAATAAAATATTCTAATTTCAAAAATTCATCTCTACATTCTGACTCCACAGCTTTTAGTACTTAATAATGTTTTTGTTTTTAGTTGACAAAAATTATAGTATACAACAAGATGTTTTGAAAAATGTATACACTGTGGAATGGTTAGATAAAGCTAACATATGCACCCTTCGGCTCTTTAAAAACTAACGTCCAATTCATCTATCAACGACCAATCAAAATTCCGTGAGAGTAACGCCTTTGCTTAGCTTTCCAGTCCTGTTAAACGGTGAGAGAAAAAAGGGTCCCCATGACCCTGCCCAACAAGACGCCACGCAGCCAGAAAACGCCAAGTGACCCCCAGGCAGATACTTCCGGAAGAAATCGGCTCTCCGAACCTGGAAGTGAAGACAGAAAACGCACGGAATTCTGGGAAGCGTTACGGAGGCGGGATTGCGTTTGCTGGCTGTTACCACGACAACCGGAGGCGATTGACCGTTATCTGCGGTTTGGAGCCGTTAGCGCGAGAGGTGGAGATGTTCAGAGGTCATTTAGGATGAGCTAAAGGGTCGTGGGGGCTCTCTTAAGATTATCTTAACAAGAGGTTTCCGGTCGTGCCCCGCGCCCCAGCCGCTGGACGGGGGGATCTGAGTCGCACTCTCTCGTTTTTCTGAGTCAGCCTTAAGGTGAAATGAAGTGTGGCCCAGTGACTTCACTGTCGCTTTCCTAGTTTTCTGTCTTCTTTTAGGAAATGTAAGTTGAGAATTTCTAATTTACATCGGGATGTGTTCTAATGCGCTTGTTTTTAAAATTGTGGAAAATTTTAGAAAATAAATCTCACCAGTCATCCAGCTACCCAGAACAAAATTTTCATGTATTACCTATTAATTTTTTTCTCTGCATTTTTTTTATAGTTGAGATGATTTAGGGAAAACCATTTTGTGTCCTGCATATCTGTATGAATACGATATAATTTTGGTATTAATATCACAGCAACAAAGAAGGCATTGAAGACTTTGAATCTGTTTACAGTGAATTGAAAAGGCAGGATGAAGTGGACACAGCATGTGAAGACAATTCTTTCAAGAAGTTTGGCTGTCAAGGAAAATAGAGAATGTGAGTAGCCAGAGGACAATGACAGGTGAAAGAAAGAAATTGGGAGCCAGACAATACAGCCTGACAGTTTATGCCCGTATTGATGTCCCACCTCTCTCACAAAATATTGAGTATCCTTGGGGAAAAAAATATATACTGTAATAGGAGAAAATGATTGGAAGAGAAACTGAGGCAAAAGTAACTAGAAAACAAAATAAAGCCAGAGGTATGTTAATACCCCAAAACTTCATACCAAAAGGTCCATGTAATTACTAGAGGGGTGCCACAAATTGGGTTCTGAGGTTCCTCACAACTAAACCAAAGGGTAATATAAGTTTCACATGATCCATATGAGGGAGGGGGACCAATGGCATATTATGGAATCCTGTTAGACATTAGCCGTATGAAATTGATTGGGTAATGTAAGTTCTTTAGACCTCATTTCTCCATTCCTTAAAGAGTGGAGAGAGGAAGGAAACTTAGAAGAGATGATCTTTTCATATCTCTTCCACTACTAGTAGTCTATGATCATATAGGCCGGAGACAGCAAACTCAAATGCCTTAAATCAGGGACTAAGAAAGTTTCTTAAGTGAGGAAATGGACTCAATGTGATAAAAGCAAGGAGTAATAGAGTTTATAATGGTGGAGTTGATTGAGCTGTCCCCTCTAAAACTCCAGACAATTCTTGTAAGGATAAGGACCCAGTGTTGCCAGATGTTCTGAGTTTTCGGGAGAAACAGGAAAATCATATTTTTGATAATATTATACAAAACAAATAAAACACCTCTACTGGCTAGATACAATTCATGGGTCACTAATTTTCAACCTCTGCTATAGGTGAAAGGACCTCAACAAGAGGGATAATTGTTTGAATTAAAGAATTAAATATGAAGAAAAAAGAAGAAATTAAAAAGAATACCAAGATTTCCCCTTGGCAATAAGGAGGAGATAGTAACATTGATACTAAAACTAGCAGAAGGTTTAGGGAGAGAAGGTGCTTGACTGTGAGTTTCTTCAACATGGGGCAAACTTGTGTCCATAGCACATGAATCCAATTCAGCTGTTGGGTTTGAGAAATCTGTGGGATTTATCCGGGGAAAGGGTACAGGAATGTAGGTCAGGAGTTTGGGGAGAGAAGATGAAAAAGGAGTTAAAGATTTAAGATTCATTCTTTCAATAAAGTTTTATTGATTATATATCACAATATGTATTTTCACAAGACTCTAAACTGTCTGAGGGCAGAAACCCCATTTTTTTTAAACAATTACCCAGCTCCTAGCACAACACATAGTCAGTGCTTACGTATGTTGAATAAAGAAATGAAAAAATACAAAACACTGTGTTTTACAGTATGCAAGATGCAGAGTTGAACTAGAAAATCTTTTTTTTTCCATTTATTTTATTGCATTTTAGGTTTTGGGGTACATGTGAAGAACATGCAAAATTGTTGCATAGGTACACACATGGCAGTGTGATTTGCTGCCTTCCTCCCCATCACCTATATCTGGCATTTCTCCCCATGCTATCTCTCCCCAACTCCCCAGCCCCCACCGTCCCTCCCCTGTTTCCCCTCAACAGACCCCAGTATGTAGTGCTCCCCTCCCTGTGTCCATGTGTTCTCATTGTTCAACACCCGCCTATGAGTGAGAACATGCGGTATTTGATCTTCTGCTCTTCTGTCAGTTTGCTGAGAATGATGGTTTCCAGGTTCATCCATGTCCCTACAAAGGACACAAACTCATCGTTTTTGATGGCTGCATAATATTCCATGGTGTATATGTGCCACATTTTCCCTGTCTAGTCTATCATCGATGGGCATTTGGGTTGGTTTCAGGTCTTTGCTATTGTAAACAATGCTGCAGTGAACATTCGTGTGCACATGTCCTTATAGTAGAACGATTTATAATCCTTTGGATATATACCCAGTAATGGGATTGCTGGGTCAAATGGAATTTCTATTTCTAGGTCCTTGAGGAATCGCCACACTGTCTTCCACAATGGTTGAACTAATTTACACTCCCACCAATAGTGTAAAAGTGTTCCTATTTCTCCACATCCTCTCTAGCATCTGTTGTCTCCAGATTTTTTAATGATCACCATTCTAACTGGCGTGAGATGGTTATCTCAATGTAGTTTTGATTTGCATTTCTCTGATGACCAGTGATGATGAGCATTTTTTCATATGTTTCTTGGCCTCATGTATGTCTTCTTTTGTAAAGTATCTGTTCATCTGGCATCTACTTGAGGGTGGAGGGTGGGAGAATGGAGAGGAGCAGAAAAAGGCTTAATACATGGGTGATGAAATAATCTTTACAGCAAACCTTCACATGTACCCCAAACCTAAATAAAAGTTTAAAAAGAAAATCTTCCTAAAGAAGTTTATAGGGCAAGGGCCCCATATCCTAAAGGACGGAAGAGAGAGAGAGAGTGAGAAAGAAAGAAAAAAAAAGAGAAAAAGGGAGGGAGGGAAGGAAGGAAGGGAGGGAGAGAAGGAGCTTATAAGCCAGAAAGTAAGACACATAAGTAACTAATGCAAGTTAAAAAACTACCATGGGATTCAGAAGGGGAAGATCTTTTTAAAAGAAGTTAAGAAGTTAAGCTGTGTCTTTCTTGATAATGAACAGTTAGGATTCAATCACATAGGTGTTAGGAGAAGAACTGATCAGAAGCAGTTAAATAGATGTAGGCCGGGTGTGGTGGCTCACACCTTAAGTAAGCCCTTTGGGAGACTGAGGTGGGTGGATCACTTGAGGTCAGAAGTTTGAGACCAGCCTGGCCAACATGACAAAACCCTGTCTCTACTAAAAATACTAAAATTAGCCGGTGTGGTGGTACACGCCTGTAATCCCAGCTACATGGGAGGCTGTGGCAAGAGAATCGCTTGAACATGGGAGGCAGCCACCACCCTCCAGTCTGGGTGGCAGATGAGACTCCGTCTCAAAAAACAAAAAAAAAATGTATACCCTTTTGAAAGTCAGTATTTGAAAGTGCCAAAAAAAAGTGAATAGTGAAACAATTTGAAGCCAGAACCTTGAGAATCACCCATGTATAAAGAAGATGAGGAAGAAAAACCAACAAAGTAAACAAAGTCATCAGAAAGCTAAGAGAAACATCTGGAGACTGTGTTTCATAACAACTAAGATTCCAGGTTTCAAAAAGAAAAGGTCAGCCAGTGTTGTCAAATACTACAGAGACAGCAAGCCATCAAGGGGAATCCAAGGCCATTGGATTTGATGGTTAAGGAAATCATTGATGACTTTAAACAACTTGCTGATGAATATAAGAAGAGGAGCTTGAAAAAGCAGTAGCATTGAGAGGCTTCTTGATTTGTTTAGGGAGGTAGGGAATGGGGTTCCATAGGCACAGGGGAAGAAAATAGAAGGTGAGATTAAGCTGCAAAACAGGATAAATTTATGAAGCAAGATTTTGGAGCAGTAATGAGATCAAGAAATGTGGGAAGAGTAACATCAAAAATCTGCATTATAATTCTAACAAATTATGTTTTCCTGACCAATGGCCTGGTTTCTTTTCACCTTTATGGCCCTAAAATAACTTCATAATCTAAAAAATAGAACTTTAACTTACTAATATTTGCTAATGTTGCTTTTAAATCCTTTTTTTTATAAACAGATATTATTGGTGGGGCATGGTGGCTCACACCTGTAATCCCAGCACTTTGGGAAGTCATGGTGAGCAGATCACCTTAGGTCAGGAGTTGAAAACCAGCCTGGCCAACATGGTGAAAACTGGTCTCTATTAAAAATACAAAAATTAGCTGAGTGAGGCGACAGGTGCCTGTAATCCTTCCTACTCAGGAGGCTGAGGCAGGAGAATCACTTGAACCCAGGATGTGGAGATTGCAGTGAGCCGAGATCGCACCTCTGCATTCCAGCCTGGGCAACAGAGCAAGACTCCATCTAATAAATAAATAAATAGGTATTATGGTGTATACACCTGATTTTTTGATTGCTCCACATTCCTCTCAGGAAACCACCACTCACCAGCCTTAGCCTATGTGGTTGAAGTGCGGCTGATTCCCAGCTCCCCACCCTGCCGCCATTTTTACACTTGATGTAGACCTGACCAATGAGAACCATAATTGGTACTTTTGCTGACACTATTTAAAAACAAAAAACAACCTCTCTCCCGCTGATGTTGTGATATTGCAGGTGCTAAAGACCATATAGACAGAGCAGACAGGTCACCCTTGCTACCATATGGAGGTTTGTCTAATATTGAAGCTGAAGAAGCTAAGCTGGAAGACAGAGAGACCAAGTCCTGATGACATTGTTTGAACCAAAGATACAGACATGTCTGAAAACTAGTTTTACCACTGGACTTATCAGTTAAATGAGCCAATAAACTCTCTTTTATACTTAACCTTGGGTTTTACCTGATTTTTGTCATTTACAGCTCAAAATATTCTAATACAGAGATATGTATCATTAAATCAACATTATTTCTTTTTTTCTCTGTCTTATTTTAAATGTAACTCGATAATGTATTCTAAAAGTATTCTACAGTCTCTCTAAGTTAATCCACAAATGTAGTAAAATTCCAATATTAATCCCAAAAGTATTTTAAGAGCTTGTTTTTGTTGTTTGCTTGTTTGGGACTAAACAGAATTACTCCAAAATTCATTGAGAGAAAAAAAAAAAAAAAACATGAAAAAAACAAGAAAATCAAATTCATAAAGGGTAAATGCACTGTCATATAATAAAGCATGAAACAAGAAAAATAAACACAGGGTGATAATGGAGTAGGAATAAACAGTCATGGAACAGAATTCAAAGCCTGAATATATCTAAGAGCACTTGCCAAATTTAATATGTGGTAAATTAAGAAAAGATTAATCCAGTAAAGTATATAAAAACATTGAGCCAGATTTAGAGGAGAAAGATAATTAGATCCTTACCTTATTCCCAGAATAAATTTCAAATGGATTTGTGACTTAAATGTAAAAATTGAAGCCCGATTCTCAGTATATATTGATTGGCATATAATTGGCACAATCTTTAGAAATATCAATTAAATGTTAAATATTAATAATGTACAACACAGACTTTCAATTCCAGAAATATATCCTACAGAAACAAAATATTTGTATAAATATAGGTAATGCAGTATTGGAATATCAAAAGTAGTAGTACACATATGAAATAGGATATGGATATAGGATATCATACATTCACAGAGGAGCAATATCACAACAGGGAGGTGAAAATTGATTCTTAAGAGAAACATTTTTTTTTCTAAAGCATAGATACACATAAAGCATATAAATGGATATACAGTATATATGTGTTATTGAAACTTCATGGGAGAGTAATAAGAAAAAAACTGTCTATGCCAGGCACGGTGGCTCATGCCTGAAATCCCAGCACTTTGAAAGGCCAAGGTGGGTGGATTATGAGATCAGGAGATCAAGACCGGCCTGGCCAAGATGGTGAAACCCCTTCTCTACTAAAAATACAAAACTTAGCTGGGTGTGGTGGCGGGTGCCTGTAATCCCAGCTACTTGGAAGGCTGAGGCAGGAGAATCTTTTGAACCTGGGAGGTGGACGTTGCAGTGAGCCAAGATCGCGCCACTGCACCCCACACTCCAGCCTGGGCAACAAAGCAAGACTCTGCCAGAAAAAACAAAAAAAAAAAAAGGGAGGGAGGGAAAGTAGGAAGGAAGGAAGGAAGTGGGGGAGGGGAGGGGAGACTGTCCAAAAAAAAAAAAAGGAAGGAAGATGACTAAAAGGCTGAGAAAAGCTGTTGTATATAATGTGATACCATGTTAAAAAGAATGAGGTAGATTTTTGTATGTTGACAAGAGGATGCCCCAAGATACATTGTTTTTAAAAAACAAGTTGTAAAATAGTATGCATGATGTGATTACTTTTTTAATAATTAATATATGTTGATACAAACAAAAAAGTATTGGTGTTTTTCTTTGGGGTTAAAATTAATGTTCAATTCTATATTATGTTTACAACTTTTAATAGCATTTTAATAAGAAGATAACTTGTAAGAATAAGTGAATATTGGAGTAAATGTTTTCATAGTCTTGTGATGAGAAAGGACTTTTTAAAAATGACTCCAAAACCCAAAACTATAGAATTTTAAGTTAAACTACATAAAAATAAAAATTACTACATGGTTAGCCAGGCACAGTTGCTCATGTCTGTAATCCCAGCACTTTGAGAGGCCGAGGCGGGAAGATTGCTTGAGCCACAGAGTTTGAGACTTCCTGGGCATCAGGAAGACCCCAACTCTACCAACATTTTTTTTAAATTAGCCAGGCATGGTGGCCACACCTGTAGTCCCAGCTACCTGGGAGGCTGAGGCAGGAGGACTTTTGAGGACAGCAGGTCAAGGCTGCAGTGAGCTCTGATCACTCCACTGCACTCCAACCTGGGCAACAAGAGTAAGACCCAGCCAGGTGCAGTGATGCACACCTATAATCCCAGCAAGGATTTGGGAGGCTGAGGTGGGCAGATCACTTGAGGTCAGGAGTTCGAGACCAGCCTGGCAAACATGGCAAAACCCCAGCCCCCATCCCTACAAAAAAATACAAAATTTGGTTGGGCGTGGTCATGGGCACCTGTAATCCCAGCTACTCAGGAGGCTGAGGCAGGAGAATTGCTTGAATCCACGGGCAGAGATCCGAGATTTCGCCACTGCACTCCAGCCTGGGTGGCAGAGTGAAAAGGTTAAAAAAAAAAAAAAAAAAGTGAGACCTTATCTCAAAAAAAAAAAAGAAAAAAAATTACTACATGGCAAAAGAAAAAAATCATAATTGAAGTTGAAGCAACAACCTGAGAGAAAATATTTGCGATATATATGACAAAAGATGCATGTTAGTATACAAACAGCTTTTATGTGTCAATAAAAAGTTCCAACACCCTATCAGACAAAACTGGTTAAAAAAAAAAAAAAATGAACAAACAAATGCACACACACACAATACAAATGGCTAATAAACATGAAAATATTTTTATCCTCACTAGTAAAGAAATTCAAGGCCGGGCGCGGTGGCTCAAGCCTGTAATCCCAGCACTTTGGGAGGCCGAGGCGGGTGGATCGCGAGGTCAAGAGATCGAGACCATCCTGGTCAACATGGTGAAACCCTGTCTCTACTAAAAATACAAAACATTAGCTGGGCATGGTGGCGCGTGCCTGTAATCCCAGCGACTCAGGAGGTTGAGGCAGGAGAATTGCCTGAACCCAGGAGGCGGAGGTTGTGGTGAGCCGAGATTGCGCCATTGCACTCCAGCCTGGGTGACAAGAGCGAAACTCCGTCTCAAAAAAAAAAAAAAAAAAAAAAAAAAAAGAAATTCAAATAGGCCAGGCATGGTGGCTCGCACTGTAATCCAAGCACTTTGGGAGGCTGAGGCAGGAGGATCACTTGAGCCCAGACTGCAGTGAGCTATGATTGTGCTATCGAACTCCAGCCTGGGTGTCAGAGCAAGACCCTGTCTCTAAAATAAATAAATAAATAAATCTAAAAATAAGATAGCTTTTTTTCATTAGATTAGCGAAGTTATTACAATTGTTGGTATTGGCAGAGAAATGAGATAGGGCAGTGCCAGAGTATAAATGGGTTCAGCCTTTCTGAAGTGCGGTTTGGCAACATGTATCAAAATGTTAAATATGCATACCTTTGAATCAGCAGTGATACTTCTAGGAATTTATCCAAAAGTGATAGACAAATCAGAAATGATGCAAGTACATGAATATCATTACATTAGTCAAAAGTTGGCAACAGGCAGGGCACAGTGGCTCACGCCTATACTCCCAGCACTTTAGAAGGCTGAGGCAAGAGGATCACTGGAGCCCAGAAGTTGGATGCCACAGTAAGCTATGACTGTGCCGCTGCACTTCAACGTAGGCAACAGAGCAAGACCCCTTCTGTAAATAAATAATTTTTAAAATAAAATTTTTTAATGGAAACAAAGCTTTTGAAAAGAGGCTAAGTGCTTTTGAGTGAAAATAGCTTGTAACAAAATATCATGTTGTTATCCCATTTACTTAGATTACGTATGTGTAATTATACATAGAAGTAATATCAAAATAATAATGGAAATCTCTGGTGGAATTGCAAGTGAATTTTAAGGTCATGCAAAAGTGAGAGAACAGTATGAATCCCCATGTACTTCAACTCATACTCAATCGTGTTTCATCTATGTTCCTACCCACTGCCTCCCTGTCCCTAATTTTTCAAGCAATTAAGATATTTTCTCAGTTAATAGTTTAATATGTACTTCTAAAAGATAACGATGCTTTTAAAACACAATCTCAATACTAATGTCATGCCTAGAAAATCCTAACAATTCCCCAATAAAAGCAACTCTATCTGGTCAGTGTTCGCATTTTCCTGATTGTCTTATAAATGGTTTTACAGTTCAGTTGCGGACTGTTAATCTATAAGTTCTTTCTCCCTCTCTCTTTTTTGTTTTATTGCAGTTTATTTAGAGAAGTAATTGGATTGTTTATTCTAAACTTTAGGAGCTTAAGAGTAGGCCTAACCCTAACATTTACATGCCTGGGACAATAGTACAAATGAAGGCTCAAATACCACATATATAAAATGTAAAAGTATCACTCAAGCTAACAGTTAAATATGCTCTATACTTCTACCTTGAAAAACCCTTGTAATGACCTGAAAGGCCAGGCTTGAATTTAGAGTTCTCAGACTCCGAGTTCCTCACTGGGTTGTGGTTGCACTGGAGAGCTGGCATACAGCCCAAAGGCTGTCCTCGTTCTCTTTCCACCCCTGCCTTTATCCCAATAACAAGGAAACCCCAGCCCACATGTCCAAATTCAATCTACATCCTCTGCAAACAGCCACCCCTGGCAGCACAGTCTACCCTTGGGAAGAAGAACTAAGGATGGGCTCATGCAGGTCCTGGAGGGCATTTTAATTTCTTCTCAGTAAGTACCTGGGAGTGAAAATGATTATTTAACTTTAAAAAGAGACTGCCAAACAGTTAAAAGTGATTTTATCATTTTTCATTTCCAACAGCAGGGTATGAAAGTCCTAGGTGCTCCACATTCCATCAAAATTTAGTGCTGGTGGTCCTTTTCATTTGGGGCTGGGGTGTGTGTGTGCATGCGTGTGTATGCGTGTGTGTTCGTGTGCGTGTGTGTGTGGTGTATGTGCTGTTAGCAGTTATTGACGATCATTATATCAACGGTTACAAAATGGTGATATTCTAATTCTGTCATCCATGTATCTGCTGAAAAGCTTTTATAAAAAGAAACTTCCCTTCAACATATATTCAGTTTCCCTGAAATACAATTTAGATGGGAAAGGCAGGATTCATGCTTAATTGTTTCCCTTTATTTAACAATTATCAAAATAATGAGTTGATTCCTTCATATTCATCAAAGAT